TTTGAAACAGTAATCTAACAATAAGACCAAAGAAAATTCAGTCAGCGCATGGGAAATTTGTAGGCATTTTTTGAATCGCCAAGTCAAGTGAACACCGCGAGGAAGGTGCCTTAGGCCGAGAAGATAGGATCAAGATCGCTGTTAAAGTTAACAGAGGGGTTTATCAGTTGATCTTAGCATAAGTTATACACAGCAATTTTTGAAGCACTTGCATGACAATCCTCAAAAAGTATGGTAAATTCCTCTAACGGCAATAGGCCCGCTCCAGTTCATCACTCAAAGATCATGGACTTGGGCTTTTACCGTTTTGTTGTGCCTGTTTCTCATTATTATATGGATAATTAGGAGCCATAGTTATCTGTAGGAAGTCAGCCCGCGCGTAATCATGTAATTGCACTGCGCGGGCCTTTCGTTGTTACACCATCATAGTAGGAGTTTTGAAGATGATAATAAATCTACTGCGAGGCAGAAAGCATAGTAAAATATGCTAATATTTATGCACGTCATTTAGAACCTTGATCTTTTGACACCAACTTTTCGAACTTCATTTGCGACTGGTTCTGCCGAAGAAGCTTCTTACTCATCATTCCAAAGGTAGGTTCTCAAATAAAAGTGTTAGTTTCCATACGCATGTTTGAAGGGAAGTTTCGCCTGTTCGCTCGGCCGTCGAAAGCGTTGCATACATAGCAGATCACTTGAAGAATGAAGAAGATGACAAACAGGTAACTGAAGGCTGTCTGATTCAAGAACAAAAAAGGCGGTTAATTTTAGATTTTTTGAAGTTCAACTATTTTAGGTGATAGAAGATTGGAAATATATATCAGTGGTAATGGATCGAGTGTTCTTAATATTGTTCACTTGTGCTTGCGCCCTTGGAACAATTTTGATTATTGCTCGAGCGCCGTCGATCTACGACACAACGCCACCTTTGGCATGAGCTAAGCTTGCTCGCGGTTCGGAATGGCGCAAATCTGAAGAACATCGGCGCTTTGGTGCCATACTCTGAGTTCTGCCTTTCACACGTTCTATTCCGCTAGGGTCGTTGTCTACGGGTTTTTCTATTCTGCCATTTCCTCGCTGTTTTCTCGGAGTCAGAACCGACCGCGCGTAACGCTGAAGCCTTCAACATCTTTGAATTCCATGCTGTCTACCTGCTAAGCCATAAGATAAATTTTGTGCCGGTGAATTCTCTATCTTTTCAAATCATCAAGCCAGCAAACAATCCTTGAACAATAAATTTTACTGCCACCTACCGTTGCCTTAATTTCTACCGTCTTTATCCTCGATCATAGGCTTTTCTTGTATTTTTGTTGCTCAACGTACTTATCTTTCAGTAAACCCAAAACGCGAACACATTAAAAATTTAAGATAAATAGGAAACTATTTGGTCTGGACAAGGTATCTATTTTCTATCAATGATTATTTGTTTCTGATAGAATCGGAACTAGTTAGGTGTAGATTATCATATCGTCGTGTGGTCGAAGACTTCCACTCCACCCACCGGCTTTCCTTGTTTTTATGTTTGTACAAAGTGATTTGTTATAAAAGAGAACTTTAATAAAATCATTTCAAAGCATGTTTTGATGACAGCCCTTACAATCTACACAGAACATGTTAGTTCAATGTGGCTTCATACAAACTTTATCATGTAATGCATCACAATGGAATGGATCCGCACAAACTGTTACAAGATCAGGCCAGGAAGAGAGCGTAGTTTTTAAAGAGGTCATGTTCCAAGGAACGAAAATCACCTAGTCTGAAGATGTTGAAAGAGAAACTGGGGAGTGAAAGACTAGGATGAAACTGTAGAATTGTAAAATCTCATAATACTGAACTTGCACAGAAGACCGCCAGTAAATGCTACAGCAAACGATAGACACATCTAGCTGTGGATATGAGCGATGTGGATTGAGTAAAATATTAGGTTGGAAACTAAGTTTTGCATCTCCTCTAACTTTCCTCTCGTTTGGTATGAAGCGCTCAAATTTTGCCAATATATAGACTATAACGTAAGCTAGAAGTTAGCTGCTGATCCGCAAAATTCTGACTTCGCAGTGAGGGTTACG